CTGGCTTCTGCGCGCGTTGGATAGTCGCGCCCAGGCCCCCAGGCTCCCTCTCCAGCGGGCCGCTGTCACTAGCGTCGCGGCGGCCTTTGCTGTGGCTTTATGAAGCTCTCCGGGTCCCCTCACCCCGCCACCTCGGCCCCGCCCCGCCTCGCCCCGCCCCCTTGTGGCTAATACTGCATGAATTCAACGCTGTAGGCGAGGACTGAAGGGTCCCCCACTTTGGGGACCAGCAAGTCTCTGTATGTCCCGAATCTAGGAGAGTCAACCTGCCACCTGAAACTTGGAGTGGTTTCTCGCCTCTGGACCCTGGGGGAAATCCACCCCCCCCCATCCAGGAAGGCTCAGCAAAGGCCCTTTCCCACAGGAAGCCTTCGGTGATGCCCCGTATGGGACCCCTGAACGTGTTCGCATTTATGGCAGGTTCAGGAGCTGCTTAGACTATACATAGTCAACAGGTATTTGTTGAGAGGCCTTCTGTGTGCTCAGGCTCTGTGCTTAAGCGACTTTGCACGAAGTACTTATCCACTTTCTCCTGGCCAGAGGAGCAGATTTAGAAGCTGGTGGGTAGCACAACCCCCGCCCTCCCAGACACAAGAGAATAGTATCAAAAGCAACCCATTCTGGGCAGGGCTGGTAGGCACGGTCCCACAACATCCCTCTCTCTCCTGCCATAGCAGCCATGGTAGGCATGGGAAGTAGAGCCAGGCTGTCAGTGTTCAAAGTCCCAGGGCTGATTGTGCCTGTGATTCCGGAATATGGGACCTGGGTAAGCTAAAGTCATTTCCTTTGTCTGGAAGTGAGTGCCTCAGGCCGATCAGGTAGGGTGGGGAAATAAACACACTTACTGCTGGATGCAGCGTGGGGAGGCTGTGAGCCTTACACCAGTGGGTGTCAGTACACAGCACTTTCCATTCTATGATAGAGGAAAGAAAGTGACTTCAGTCATAGCTGACTGACAAGCCCAGGACATGATTTGATGGTGACGCACGGATGTTCTTCCTCACAGCATCCTATTCTGTTAAGGTAAGCATGCTTTTTGAGGAAAAGTACCCTTTTCTCCCAATTGAAAATGATCCCACTGGAAATTTTTCTGTGTGAAAAAAATGTCCTTGAGGGCTGGGGATGTAGCTCATTTGGCAAAGTATTTGTCTGGCATGCATTAAGCTCTGGGTTTGATCCCCAGCACTTGATAAATGGTAGCAGGGACTTGAGGGGTAGAAGTAGAGGATCAGAAGTTCAAACTCATCCTCAGCTATATTTTGGGCCAGCCTGGGCTACATGAGCGCCTCAAAAATAAATTAAAAAGGGTAGGCATGGTAGCACACACCTTTAATCCCTGCACTCGAGAGGCAGAGATAGGTGGATCTCTGTGAGATCAAGGCCAACCTGATCTACATCATAAGGGAGACCCTGCCTCAAGAAAAAAAAATAGGGGCTGGAGAGATGGCTCAACAGTTAAGAGCACTAACTGCTCTTGCAGAGGACCTGGGTTCAATTCCCAGCACTCACATGATGGCTACGAATAGTCCTTAACTCTAGTTCCAGGGGAATCAGAAACCCTCTTCTGACCTCCACAGCATTGCATGACAGGGGTGCCTTCACATACATGCAGGCAATACACTCATACACATAAAATAAAAATAAAAAAATAATTTTTTTTTAAAAAAGAAACAGAACCATAGAATGAATGGGGTGGGGGGTAGGGGGAGTATCAGATTAGCTCACAGGATAGAGTCCGAGTAGCCCAACAATGGCTGCACCACACTGGGGAGGCTGAGAATCTGGTAGTTGCTCAGTCCACGTGGCTGGATGCCTCAGTAGTCCCAATCTGGTGCTGAAGGCCTGACGAATTCCAAGAGTTCTACATCATCTTCAGAAGATGGTCACAGCAGCAAGATGAACTCACCACTGAGAGAGAAGGCAAGGGACAAGAAAGCAAAAGCACTCTTATGCCATGGCCTTTTATATGAAGGTAACACCCACATTTAGGGTGGGTCTTCCAGGTTCAGATGATCCAATCAAGAAGGTTGCTGGGGACTTGAACCCATGACCCCCAGCGAGGAGCCTGGTCTACATAGTGAGTTCCAGGACAGCTGGGGCTATAGGGAGACCCTGTCTCAAAAAGACCAAAAAAAAAAAAAAAAAGGTAAAACATCTTTAAAAATAATTTACTATTGTGTGTCCGTGTGGGCATGTGTGTATGGTGCACATGTGAGGGTGAGAGGACAACTTTGTGGAGTTGGTGCTTGCCTTCCTCCTTTATGTGGGTTTCGGATAGCAAACTCAGGTAGTCAAGCTTGGGTGACAAGCTTTGCCCACTGAGCCATCTTGCAGGCCTCCAAGCTAAAACATATTTATATAGAAAATCTAAGCAGTACAGAAAAGAAAGGCTATATAAATCATTCCCAGTTTTACCCCCCAAAACAAACAGAATTAACATTTTGGGGAACACCCTCCCAGATGCCCCTCCTGTATACAGTGGGTTCCCTGTCTCTGTCTTTGTATGTATGTGTTTTGTGGGTTGTTTTGTGTTTTTGAGACAGGATCTCCTTGTAGCCCCAGCTGACCTAGAACTCACTATATAGACCAGGCTTGCCTCAGTCTCACAAAGATCCACCTGTCTCTGCCTCAAGAGTGCTGGTATTAAAGGCATATGCCACCATGCCCACTCCTGTCTGTCTTTTGCACACACACAAATACATAATTTTAAAAAATATTTTATTTATTATTTTTATTTTATGAGTATGCATGTATTGCCTGTATGTAGGTAAGTGCACCCATGTTGTGCACTGCCTGAGGAGGATGGAAGAGGCTGCTGGATCCCTTGGAACTGGAGTTATGGACAGTTGTTAGCTGCCATGTGGGTGCTGGGATTTGAACCCGGGTCTTCTGCAAGAACAGTCAATGTTCTTAACCACTGAGCCATCTCTCCAACCCCACAAATACATAATTTTATATAGACATCACACAGCCTGCTTTGTCATGTGAGCTTTTCTTTTTTCATTCAACAAGGTGTCATGGAATTTTTTGCATGTCAAATATATAAAGATTTACATTTTAAAGAGTGTTCTGAAAAATACTTGCACAATTTCATCCTGTTAAAGGCTGACTTCTCTCCCAATCTTTGCCTGCCTCACTTCTCCCCTGGGGGCTGGCCTCTCTACATTTCTGTCCCAGCCCAACAGGGCTTCAACCATAGGGGCCCATAGGGACACTCTCCTCCCAACTAGAGCTGAACCAAGAGGCAGGCTGGCAGATGAAGGGAGGGCAGAGGAGAGAGAATCAGCACATCTCTTGAGGATGGAGATTGGATATACAATAGCACATAGCACCAGAAACTGGGGTCTGGCTTCCTCCCCAACCCCTTCCCCATTTCCTCTGGTTTAAGGAATGTGGAAGTTTCTGCCTGCTGTTCAAAGTGAGGCAGCATCACTTGAAAGAAGGTAACCTTAGAACCCTTGGCTACCTGTTGTGAAACATAGATTTCTAAGACTCACCTGAATGACTGATTTCCCCAGGAGACATAGAACTTTTGAATGCTGATAACTCTTTGGGGACACATTTTGGCTAAGTGTTGAATTGTGGAAGGCCAAATGGAGTCTTGCTCCTGCCTCCCTCCCTCTCCCCTCTTCCATGTCGAGCCTCAAGTTGTGATCCATCCCGCTGCTTTTGAACAGAATGTTCTAAAAGCTCCTATCCAGCTTTTAGCAGAAGGGATTATGAATTTCATAACTGGGTGGCCCTGAAGATGTCTCTGGAGGAAGAGGGGACCTGGGGGTGGTCTCTCTCAACCTGATGGGTTGATAAAACCTGGCTTATTAACCACAGATTCTTCATCACCACCACCACCCCACTCCATCTAATTTCTTCCACCCAAAAAAGAAAGTGCTTGTGAAAAGCGGGGGCTGAGTGGCCCTGGTGTCACCACTGCCAGTCCCGCCCTTCTGCCAGCTTGGGTGAGAAGAAGAACCCTGGCAGTGACACCTCCTCTTCCTGCTACCACCTCACCCTCCTTCCCAGGCTCCAGGGCTGGAGAGGTGGGAAGAGAGAAGTGAGGAGACAAGCCCCCTGGGATACCCTCTCTTCCCTGTGGCTGCACTTCCCAGCCATTCTCCCATACCGCCAGTACATTCTACCCACAGGCTGGCCAAGGTGGGGTGGGAGTGAAGAAACACGGGGTGGGTACCCAGGATGGAAGAGACAGTCACCAGCCAGCATCCCAACACAAAAATGGGACAGTCTGAATGGGAAACAAAATGCTTCAAAAGTCACACACCCTGCTTGCCACAGAGCTGGGGTTGAGGCCTGGTCTCCACTGCTAGTCCAGTGTTCTTCCCACAAAATCAAGTAATGAAAAATCAGCCCAGGGCTGGGGCTTGGTGGTAGAGTACTTGCCTGGCATGGGCAAAGTCCTCAGTTCTATCTCCAACACCTCAAAAAATAAAAAGCTTGATGATTCCTTTAGAAAAGATTTGGAAAATGGAAGAAAAATCATTCCTAAGCTCTCCAAGTTGGTACTGACTCTTCTTGTGGTAATTTGAGAGTATACAGGATTACTTTCTAGTCATTTCCCATTAAGACAGAATGACAGGAGCTCCCCCGAGGTCACATAGCCCTTCTGTATTACCCCTTGGGCCAGCAAACTGTTAGGACATGAATTTCTGGGACTTACTTCTAGGCATATTGATTCCCAGGCCTGACAGGCTCTACAGCATCTGAGGTTAAGGCTCTAGGTAATGTTGCCTCCACACATCCCACTCTTAGACCTGGTTCCCTTTGACTCTCCTACCTCCAAGTCAGGTCCCACTCTGCAAGTCAGTGTGCCAGGAATTTGCAGCACCAGGGAGCAGAGAAGGAGAACACTGAAACACACGGGCAGCCTCAGGCCTTGAAATG